AAATCTAAATGGATTCAATAGAAACCAAACGTAGCCAAACCCTGCACATAATATACCCAACTGAATCATCAATCGCCTTCTCTCTTCTCAGGTGCGCTGGCGAAAGTGTCTGCAAAGACAAATGGTGGCTCAAGACTGCCGGTTTGGCCGACTGCTTCCTGTTGACAGACGATCCCTTCGGGCCTGCTGGCATGAAACTGGACGAGTGTGCGTTCTGTTGCCAGGGCAGCGGTTGCAACCGGAAAGCTATCCCGGACATGAGCACGGTGTATCAGCCATAGATGTGTACTGCTCCATAGAGACGACAGGCTATTGACCACTTTTCAGAGCACATCAACATTGATGTTTCTTCCCATAAGAAGTATTTATATTTGGCCACAAATGTATTGTATATCTACAGGGCATTCCCCATTTGTCTGTGTGAAATGTGTTGTGTTTTCAAGTGTATTAATTCACCGCCATCAATTTTAAAGACTGTATTTGAAAACGCATTTTTATTCCAATTATATGGTTTGTCTATAAAACGATATGTATCACCAAAAATGTTTGAGGTTAAAAAGTTACATAAATATTTTTTACTCATAAAGAAATAGTGAGAACAAATTTTAATGCACTAAAACAAATCAGTCTCAGAATTCACAAAAGCAAACTTTAATATCAAGCTGTTTTGTTTAATTATTCCAGTTTTCACAAGATGTACAAGTGCATTTTCGAAAGGCATTACATCTGTACGAAGATCAATATCAGTTTTACAAGTATGACATAGAAGAACTCTTTTTATAAGACAAAAAAGAACGTAAAATAACTAGCAACGTTCCTTGTGTGTGAGCAAAGCCTTTTGAGGACATGAAAGAACATTTATTTGTTTCGTCTTAGCATCTGTATTAAGTGTAATCTGCGCCTTCACAAGAGCTTTGGGTTGACCCTACGATAGGAAAAATGAGAGCTTCCGCATGCAGACGAATAGAACACCACAATCATTCTTTCGTTCACAGTCTTTATTGTTGGTTTATTTGTTTAAATGTTATTATGTTAGCATTTATTTACATAATTGTTTGTTCACCCAGTCAAGGGGAATTCTGAACAACGTGTGTGTGTATTCCATGTTGTCAGAGTAAGGGACATAAGAACTGTCTCTGTATCACAGTATTGAGACCACGTGTAGAGTGCAACTCCGTACGTGCCAAGAGGATATATACGCTTTACAAAAAGGGAAAGGGTTACAGCAACCCAAAACAAGCACCTATTTATTCCAACGTTATTCAACTACAACGCTTTTTGAAAAAAAACTCCATGGTGTCTATGGATCTTTATTGCAGAACAACGTCGATATCCGACATGTTGGTCCAGTAGACCATTGGAGATTTTGAAGTTTTTAAGGCTCGACGCTAATTACTCTGGAATAAATCGGTGGTTGCTACCAAAACGTCAGTCTGTCTCAAACAGTTATAACAGAATAAAAGATGGCAGGACGATATCAAAGAGCCGATGGGGTAGAATGTCGGCACAGAAAAGAGCCAATAAAACAAAGCGGAGGTCGTTGTTGTAGGGCTGCATCCTGCAGTGAACGAACAACGCCTAGAAAGAACGAAAGAAAGAGTATCTTTTATCGCCACCAGTAATACAGTCCTTGAGACAGATGAGAAAGAGGCCACCATCTTGAAGCATAGCTCCATAAGAACTAACCCCGAACATGAACCCTTTTGCTGGGTTAATATTCCATCGGAGACCTCTTTAGGTAAAATACCCAACTCACTGGTGTCAAATCAATCAGAGAAATACACACCTCTTCACATTCGGCAACTTGGTAACAGAACCCTAAAATAAGTAGAATTGGTACATAACATGGCGAGGTCAAATCATAAATATAAACAGCATTCTTTTGTGTTTAAAGTAAGCAAAGACACAAAATTCTAGAGACTATTCAGTATGTCCGATCAGAACCTCTTACCCTATCCCGTCCCATCCCATCCCATCCCATCCCATCCCTTCCCGTCTCATCTCATTCCATCCTTCCATCTGTATCACATCTCATTTCACCCCATATCATCGCATTCTATCCTATTTCATACCATAGCATACACTACATTCCTATCCTATTTAGCATTATGTTACATTAACTGACTTTCCACCCTACCCCATCCTCTACCATGACATACAATTCACCTCTCCTATCGACCACACCGAAGCGCATTCTTACACTCTCGGAAGAAGTTCTGGGAGCAGAAGCTGTAGATGATAGGGTTGGACACAGAGTTGAGAAAATAAGAGCGGATGAGAAGGTTTTGCGCCAGCTCCCAGGCGTCGCTTGACTCTGACACCAACTCCGGGTTGGCGAACTTGAGTATCATCAGCGCCAGGTGGGGCAGGAATGACGTCACGTAGATCAGAGTGATGAGAGAGAACATCAGGGTGGTCCGGAGTGCGCCTAGGGAAACAAAGATAAGGCAAGATAAGGTAAGATCAGATCAGAAAAGATCAGGTCAGATCAGATCAGATCAGAAAAGATGAGATAAGATAATACTTTATTACCCCAGAGGGAAATCTTTCTTGGCTGTAATTACTCGTAATTATGTTACGATGTAAATTAAATAAATTATTCCAATGAATAACATATTTCAGTTCTTAGAATTGAATCAAATTTTCAAGCCTTAAACGTTTTGGGTTTCTTTCCGAATTTTACCCCCCCCCCCCCTTCCTTTTCAGAAAAGTAGTAGCGTTAGGCAGGTACTTGTACAGTTTTGACGAATGTGCCTAAAGACAACGAGCTATCGAGTACATGATATTTGGGAGTATCTGCACTTGAAATGATGATGATGATGATGATGATGATGATGATGATGATGATGATGATGATGATAATGATGGATTACATATAGGGTAGATCTACATCCTTGCTAAAAAGTAAACTACATGGGCATTGCCTTTCATCATTCGTGAACGGTTCGACTTAATATGTAGCACAAGCGAGCCTCCCATTCTGAACCCTAAATAATTTTCAGTTCCTCAATAACATCATGAGCACATATTAATACATGGCGTTGGTGGTCTAGTGGTTAGACAACCGAACCCTTAATCGGGAGGTTACGGGTTCGAGGGTTAGGGGCTCAGTCGGATATTATGACCTCTGCACCAAGTGTCTCGGTCACCAGAGGTCAGATTCTCTGCTTTAACGTCCGAGTCAAATTTGATCAAGTAAGGCAGGTGTGTATAACCGTAGCATGCACGAAAGCCATCAAACAAAACTACATGAGCAACAATAAACAAACACGGGAACAAATAAACAAAACAGCAATGACAAACAAACAATAGAAACTGAAAATGAAACAAACATAAAAGCAAAGTACCCCCCCCCCCAAAAAAAAGGGAAAAAAGACAAAAAAGAAAGAATTTAAAAAAACATAACTTTCTATGTATAAATGCCCCAATAAATTTCAGCGGTAAGAGAAGGGACAGGGGATGGGTGAACACAAGGGAAAATGCATGATTGTTTTAAATTGCAAATGAGTCTTCATAAAAAATAAATTCAATTGTTTATTTATTGAGAAAGTAAATTCCTGATGAATGATTGAGTTGAATGTGAACTTGTACGTGATGGACTGGGAACTGAGTGCTCGTGTCAACCGAGTGGAAGTCTTTGACTTAATACAAACGTTTTGCAAGAAAAGAAACAAACAAGGGGGGAGAGAAATTGCAGCGAACAGAAAAAGATATATATATATATATATATATATATATATATATATAGAGAGAGAGAGAGAGAGAGAGAGAGAGAGAGGGTGTGTGTGTGTGTGTGTGTGTGTGTGTGTGTGTGTGTGTGTGTGTATGTGCGTGTGTGTGTGTGAGAGAGAGTGAGAGATAGAGAGGGATAGAGAGAGAGGGAGTGTGTGTGCGTGTGTGTGTGTGTGTGTGTGTGTGTGTGTGTGAGTGTGTGTGTGTGTGTGCGTGTGTGCGTGTGTGTGAAGGAGAGAGAGGGGGGGAGGGGGGGAGTGAAGGAGGGAGAGAGGGGTACTCATTGCCTTTAGAGTGATGGTCTTACCAGGAGCCTCAGAGCGGATATTCAACTTGCGGAGACTTCTGAACCCGCGCAGAGATGGTCGTCGTTTCCTGGTTCTGCACACACCTGCCTCTGTGAGACAGACAGTTTGTTTGAGTAAAGAGAAGCACATCGGCACAATAATGGCCATTTAGTGCTGGAAAAAAGTAAGACAGACAAACACACAGACAGAAACAACAGAGGGAACATGAAGAATTAGGACCTATCAGTGGCACTCTCCAACCACTTGCTGGGATAGATAGGAATAATCAAATATAATGATATAAGGAAAAGAAAGAGATATGGATGGCGATAAACAGCAAAGGGAAGAAAAGTTTGCAAAACAATCGAGAAGATCAAACAAATAGGAATTCCTGCGTCACAGCAGACGACATTGTTAGCTCATTATTGTCCTTCATTTTAAATACTGTAATGATGCCACGTTATCATTAAGCTAAATAAGTTATTGTGTGTGCCAGAACATACCAGTCTCAACAAGCAAAAAGAAATGATGGATGTTCTGAACAAAAGAAAAAAGTAGGAAAAAAAGAACAATTTAAAGCTGAGTACGCAACCTACTGATGTTTGCGTTCGATATGTCTCCTGAAAGTGGTCTGTCTGGACTTCGCCAACCGGACACCAGTTTCTTGTCGCCTGCGCCGAAGCTGGAACTAGAAAATAAAAACTTCCGGTTCTGAGCCCTCTGGAACTGGGGAAGAAATTCAAGGGTCAAGGAATTCCGGTAAGGTATAACCTTTGGCCTTTTGGGTAACTCAAGAGACATAGAATTAATATTTTCCTTAGCTGGCTGGAGAGGCTGGTTTGAGCTCAGAAGGAATGCGCTGTCTTCTTTGAAATCTGAAGACAAATGTTCTGGCCTCGTTATTTTTTGGTGGTTATCTTGAGAGTCAGTTGACTGGGTGGAGTTTGTCGATTCGGTGGGTATGATGAGGGAGCTCAGATGCCCAAGAGACCGGTAAGTTTTACCGACTGTAGACACTTTTGGAAGGCATGGGTTTGAAGACACTGTTCTCAACGCGCGATTCGTTGGTTTGTCTTTAATAAGTTTTGAACCCATTTCCTGCAGGTTTCCTGTAATGGCGCTTGTGAATTTGGCAGACGTGAAACCATCAGTTACTTCGCCACTAGACGTTGTACCTGACTCATCTGTAGTTATTTCATCGGAAGTCTCCGTAGCCTCACTGTGGCTTTTCATTTTCTCCCCTTCAGTGTTCGAGTAAGGATCAACTCTTGAATATTCGCAATTTTCACATGCATTTGATTCATTGATCCTTGCAACATCCATTGAGATGTCTGGATGTGTTTCATTTTCGCTCGTTTTGTAATCATGATTTTCGCACAGCTTGTCCGAATACGTTGAGTCAATTTGGTCTTCAGAAGCCTGTTCCTCCTTTTTGTACACACAATATTTAATAGTATCCGATTTCTGATTTAGGAAAGGCTGTGCTTTCTCCTCTTGTGTACAGAAACTGTTTTCTTCCCTCCTAGCATAGATAGGGGTGGAGTTAAACTTAGTGTCCCCGCCCTCATCACTGAAGCTCAAGAACGACACGGGCGGAGACACGGGCGACGTGTAAGGGGAGGGCGTGGTTTGGGCGGAGTCAGGGGATAAGCGGGACGGGAGCCCAATGGCTAACGCCGTGTCCAGTTTTAGGTTGAGGTTGGCGAAGCTGCGTCGTCGCTGTCGGCTGCGCGCGTGCTGGAACACCCGGCGTGCGATGAGTGAGTAGAGAAGAATGAGGATGAAGGCGCCCACGACGAAGGTGAATAACTGAACACTCACATAGGCCAAGGGTACAGCTGTCTC